TTTGGAAGTTACTAAGGTCAATCAACCTTCTAACAAACGTACTACATGCTACATCTGTCTCTCCAAATAAAGAAGAATGACGTGTCTTTATTGCAATCACTGCAAACGAGTATTTTGCGCAGAAAACCGTGCTCGTTGTTGCGTTACCTGTGACATACATAAATAAATTTTAATTAATTTTTTTTTTTCATATTTTAGGCATACAAATGTTCCTTTGTTCATTTAAAAAAATTAATAAAATGTCATCTTAATTTTTTGTTTTACTCTTTTTGGAATTGAAAAAATTCTTAAATATAACGAATGGTTAGTGTTCTAGGGTTATTATTTAGGATACACTTTCAGGCTCACCTTCTAAAAGTGGAACATTACATTTCAGAATGGAGTGTACTACTAAATTACATTTCAGAATACTACACGTGCACCCTGGGTAACGCTAAATGAACTAGCACATACTTTCAGTCAGACAATCCGTAGGATCTCCTGACCAAACAAAACTTACAACAAAAGATGATAAACAAAATATACAGCCCAAAAAAGAGGCACAATACCGGGCTATGAACTACTCGCAACTTACCACCGAACATACGGCACAGCCACATATGTCAAAGAAGATATTGAAAATGCTTCGCTAATCTCTACTTCCACTGATGGCTGTATTTATAATGTGGTCACAAAAATCGCTAGCATTACCGTGTCCAACATTTACAAGACATCTGCTACGTTCTGGCCAGCCCAAGCAATTGAAGTATAGCCTCACCCTGCTGTATACGTTGGAGATTACAATAGCCATCATGAAAAGTGGAAGTACAAAAATAGTGATGCGAATGAGAATGCTTCAATAAAATGGGCAGAAGATGAACGCCTGTACCTTTTGTTTAATCCTAAAGATCGACCAACCTTTAGATCCGCGGCATGAAGGCGGAAATACAACCCCGACCTTGATGCTTTGTCTCGACCGACAACAAAGACTTACCTCTAGGGGCTTCACAAAGAGTTCTAACCAATTTCCCAAACAGCCAACACCGACCAATAAATAATAAGTAGGACACAAATCCGTTTAATTACTTTTATCCAACGTCCAAGATGGAATTTTAAAAAGGCCAACTCGATTGACTTCTCTGTGGAACTGGATAAATGCCTAGGGTGGATTACACCTAATATCAAAAACTACCACAGATTTATTGATGCCGTGCTAGTGTAGCCAAAAAACACATACAAAGAGGCTATCGCAAAGAATATTTCCCTGGCTTTTCGGAAAATAGAGAGGAACTATATCAGAGCTTTCGTGAAACTGGCGGCCAAGAATACTGTTTAACCTAGACGCCGCTAGAAGCCAAAAGTGGACTGAAACAGTAGAAAGTCTAAACTTCCAGAAATCAAGCAGACAGACATGGTCATTACTAAGAAAATTAGGTAGTGGTATCCGTACCAAATGCCTAGAGGCAGCCGTATAGCCAGATGCTAAAACATCCAGGGCACCAAAGGATAAAGAACATACCATCTACGTAAAGAGAGAACTTAAAACTTTAAAACATTTAGCCACAGGAATGGAGCATTCCCTCCATTTCACCAGCGAAGTCATATCAGAGACTCTTGAAGACGTTAAGCATGCAAAAGTACCAGGATTTGATAATATTCACCCTGAATTCTTAATAAATTGTGGCAAGTATACAAAAGTTTGGCTGGCTCGATTTTTCACGGAAACTGGAAATATTCCACAAGAACTGATGCGCTCTAAGATAATAGCCATACTCAAGTCAGGCAAACCCTCCGACAATATAAAAAACTACAGACCAATTGCGCTTCTCTTTGCCATCTGCAAACTATTAGAGAGGCTCATATATAATGGAATCAGTACAGAACTGTTCCAGGTGGTCCCAGTCGAACAAGCGGGTTTTTGACCAGAACAAAGCTGCTCGGACCAGGTAATATCACTCACCACCTACATCGAAGCGGGTTTCCAAAGAAGACTTAAAACTTCAGCAGAATTTATTGATCTCTCGGCAGCTTACGATACAGTATGGAAAGAGGGTCTTATATACAAAATTCTCCGTACAATCCCCTGTAAACAAATAGCACGTCTAATATATAGCATGCTCAACGACCAAATGTTTCAAGCAGTAATGGACACAGATATCGGCCCACCAAAGAAACTTAAGAATGGCCTACCACAGGGGTCAGTGCTCTCTCGGTGTTTTTAGTGGTGGGTTTGTTGGTCAAAAGGTGGAGAACAAAAGACAAAGAAGATGGCTACTTTATTTATTATTGAAGACGTTTCGCTTTCTAATCAGAAAGCATCATCAGTTCATCTAAAAAGAACAATATTAAAAACCAAACATCCAATGAAAAGTTATTAAGTGTGTTACCTCAAAAAGAAATATAGCAGTCAATGATATTAAAATTGTAAAGAAGCTTCTGGCAATGGGCAATAAAAAATTATGTTATATAAACAATAAATTGAACCAAATATAGTTAACAATTTTCTTAAACTTAGCACAGCAAAAGAACATGTGGTAGTTGTATATGTATATAAAAAATTATGTAAAAAGTATAAAAAAAACACATTATTATGAAGGAGAACTAAAAGATCTAAGATGCACTTCAAACAGTATATCAATAGTTAAAGTTTAATTTTGACTTTAGGTAGCATTATTAAAGTAATTGATTGAAATTTAGTAATTTAAGAGTATAATGAAGCTACCGCTACAAGCTTCTAGTCTGCTGCCGGTGAAATGAAAGCAACAGGTATTATAACGCCAACAACGTGAAAAGACAGAGGCCTTAAGCTTAACGCGTCACAGATCAACAAATTTTAAATCTACATACATTTATATTAAGTGAAAACCAATTTTACTTAAATTTTCCTTTACTTGAAACAAGAAACAACAAAATTTTAAACTTTTGATTAGTCTAACAAACCTCAGTTCTTAATTTTGAATGCTAATGACCATGATGTCAACACAGATCCTTCACAGATATTAGTTTCAATTGTACAAAACACTTACAGCTTTTTTTCTTATTGAATTGTATGTTGGAACATACCCAGAAAAGTCCAGTCTCCTCAACGATGTGAGCTTTCCTTTTTGGCACCTCGGCTCCTTCCCAACGTCTCTGCAAAACTCCTGCACTAACTAAAAACACATGATTCACTTCTCCAAAAACTCAGCTACTTATTAATGACACAAGGACTTCCTTTTGTCAACTTGATGCCTTAAAACTACTTTCACCTAGTTTCACAAAATGCCCACGGTAGATACAAGGACCTCTTGTAATCTACTTGTTATCTCCTTCTGCAAAACTATTCAATTCTTTTCACAATGCCGGTATCCAACTCACGAACCACACCGTATCTTGAGACCAACGACTGTTTCCTTCGATGACCAAATTATAACTAACCACCTCTCCAGTCCTCCTAATCGGCTCACAAATTCCCATTCAAAAAATGACCGTCCAATCAAAAGCTCAAATTGTGTTTACCATGATTTTGGAAAAGCCCAATTTCTGTTTCAGAGAAAAACTAAATAGCTTACTTTGAAATTGGTTTTGTCAATACAAAATTTATACATATTTCAAAAGATTAGAATATGGTCATTTAATACTCGATTATACAAACAATGAAAAGATTAACTTACAGGTAAAATGTCTTCTAAATAAAGGGGTTTTTTTATAATTTTGTTGGAAATGGAAAAGGTGCCAAACAAATTTCTATTCTTATCTACACTAAATCTTATCGTAAATTACTATATACAATTTGTTTATACTGATATCTTAAATTTTTATTCCGATGGATTTTATTATTTATTTTTCTTTGGTCGGGAAAGAAGAAACATGCAATAAATATATATATATATATATATATATATATATATATATATATATATATATATATATATATATATATATATATATTGGGCAAACATTTTCGGAAGTGGCGACTTCAACCAAATGCATCCAAAACAGAAGTTAGTTGCTTTCAGCTGAATAATAAACTTGCTGGAAAGGAACTCAACATACCCACATCAAAACACCGAAGTACCTGGGCGTAACATTGGACAGAACGCTATCATTTAAAGAGCATTTAACAAAAACTGCCTAAAAGTTGAGTACATGAAATAACATTGCACAGAAGCTGTGCGGTTCCACCTGACTGCATCGGCTTCCACTATCCGCTCTACTGCCTTAGCCCTTGTTTTCTCGACCGCTGAATATTGTGTTTCAGTTTGGCTACACAGTCCACACGTAAAAAAGGTTGACACTGAGCTACACAGTATTATAAGAATGATAGCTGGTACAATTAAATCAACTTCCAGCCAATGATAGCAAGAATGATACATGAGGAGTACAACATTACGAATACATGGTCCCAAGAATGGAACGCATGACAAAATAACATACCCAGCATTAGCCACAAGCCACCAGGTTTTAATCTTCCACGCAAAACATTGTCCACTCTAAATAAGATCTGAACCAGACATGGCAGATGGGCATACATGCTACATAAATGGGGAAAGAACCCGTCTCCTAAATATGACTGTGGGGAGGACCAAACGATCGACCACATTATTGAAGAGTGTCCCTCAAGATCCTACAATGGTAGCCCTGAAGACTTCCTGTTCCTGTCCAACTTCAGAGTCAGTTGTTTATATTAATACACTTGTAAAGTTTGTCATATATACCTATACCTATATTACTAGTGTTTGTAATTTTGTTCTAAATGTGTAATTGCCATACGATAAATAAATAAATACATTTCAGGATAGCAGTTTAAAAATAAAATACCTATTAAGTAACTAACGCACTTTATTAGTATAAAAGATCAAGTAAAAGAGTGCAATATATTTGCGGTTTATGCATTTTTAAGTATATTTAACAATATAATGTATATATACAAAGTTTATAATGTACAAACATAATTATATACGGTTTTCTCTTCCGCTAGTAACTTTTAATCTTAATAGTAGCCTTCCTAAACTCTTCTTTCATATCTTTATCATCCCAACCCCACACAGAGTCATCATGGAAGTTGTGAGGCTCTTTTGTATAACCATTTTCAAAAGGAACTTTATCGAATTTGTATGATCCATCTCCTGTTCTTGCAGCTCGTTTTTTAATCATGTCTTCTGATACTGTTTTGAGATCGTACGCTTGTCCTAAGTAAGTCATGAGATCCAAAAAGCCAGTAGTTAAGTTAGCTCTGTAATTTCCAAGTTCGGCAGCTTTGTAGTCCCATGGGAAGGTATGGTGGTAGTTGTGCCAGCCTTCTCCTAAGCCTACAATGGAAACGCTAAGGTTTTCGACTGGATTGATGGAGCTGTGATAAAAAAATAATCAATAAAAATACATAGAAGTGGCTGAAGTGGCTTACTATCTACTGCATACTAACCTGTCATATGGCTTCCACCCATACATATGTGCAAAACTGTTAACGCACCAAGTTCCATTTAGAGTTAGTACATATTTTCCAATAACTATTAAGAAGGCATTCAAAGCCGTTTCATGAAATAAATGGACAATAGCTATTGCTGGTAAAATAAACGTCAAAGTTAATCCCATAAGTACGTAGTATCTACAAAAAAAAAGTATGCTTAAATATAATATGGAATTAAAAAAAAACAACTAAGCAAGACAATGCTCCATTAACATTTTAAAAAGCTTAATTAACGTCTGAGTTACTACGAAATTGTTCTTTTGCTGTTTGTGAATTTGTAAAAGCTATTTTAATATTCTAGTTTCAATTTAATTAGCGTCACTTTATTAAAAATTTAGCATTTTTTTAACATCAACAGGCTTACTGTGGTAAACTTTAGGTGTTGCAACAGATGCTTAAACGGAGAAGAAGTTCCAGAAGAATGGAGACAATCGTATATCTCTTCAATACACAAGAAAGGCACAAAAACGGATCCTAAAAACTATAGAGGGATCGCAGTGATTGCTACCATAGGCCGATTATATTCAAAAGTACTGAGAAACCTGATAGAAAATGATATTAAAGATAAACAACCCGAAGAACAAGCGGGATTTAGGTCCGGACGCTCCACTATGGATAATATTTTCACATTAAAAATTGCAATGGAAAAACGAGTGCAGAGAAATGTGCACTCTTTGCGGATGACCAGGTAGTAATTGCCGAAGATAGCTACGATCTTAGCTATATGGTAAGAAAACTGCAAGAAGAATATGAGGTGGCAGGTCTAAACATGAATATGACAAAATGTGAGTATCTATCAGTGAGAACAGATGAAATATGTGACGTAGTCTTGGAAGACGACAAAATCAAAGGCGTACAATCCTGCAAATATTTAGGGGCCATTTTCAATAAGAAGGGAAATAACGCAGATGAAATCAGAGAAAGAATAAATAAGGGTAGAGCAGCGACCCGTGCCTTAAACTCTCTTCTCTGGCAAAAAACAATTCGACGAGAAACCAAAAAACACATTTACGGTAGTATAGTCCAAATTATTACACTTTACGGTTCGGAAGTATGAGACGTCACTAAAGTTAATAAAAACAAACTTATGACGACAGAAATGGATTATCTAAGACGAAGCTGCGGTAGATCGAAACTAGAAAGAGTTAGGAACGAACAAATAAGAAACGAAATGAAAATGGAGCGAAATATCAATGATGACATAGAAAGAAAACAATTAATCTGGTTCGGACATGTTAAAAGAATGCCAGAGTACAGATGGCCTAAAAGAGTACTGGAATGGATCCCTCCTGAAAGAAGAAAGAGAGGACGACCACGGAGAAGTTGGCGCAACGATATTGATGAAGCAATGGCGGCAAGAGACTTAGAAGAGGCAAATGCGTATGACAGAAAAAGATGGAAATGGGGGGCGGAGAAGCGGCGACAGCCGTAATCAATCCGTTATATATATATATTATATATATATATATATATATATATATATATATATATATATATATATTATATATATATATATATATATATGCAACTATTATATATATATATATATATATATATATTTATATATATATATATATTATATATATATATATATCTATATATATATATATTTATATATATATATATATGTATATATATATATATATATATATATATATATATATAAGATGGTGGTATTTTTGACTGTTGATTTAAATATAAGTTGTGATTTTTGAGGATGCAGTCAGTTTATTTGGCCCACAAGACAAAGAAAACTCTTTGACTTACTGTCAAGCTTTCGAATTTTATTTAATTCTTTTTCAAGACATCTATAAAAAGAAATATAAATTAACTAGTTAAAATTGTTAATTGTCTTACTTAGTAGTCGTGAGATTACAGTTGTTAATATTATTGTACTCTAAAAAACAAACCATTATAAATATATTAAAATTTTTTTTATTAAAAATAACTATATTGTCACTATATATGTCATTGTCATGGTTTGATTAATGGACATATATGAATGAAAATACAGTTACAGTATGTGGAAAGCAAAACCAGTAACAATAGTTTTTATTATAATTTATTTAATTGTCTATAAAAAATATAAATTAATCCTAATATCCTAATCCTAATAATTTTGGCTTAAGCACATATGAATTTTTAATGTTAGGATGTCAATAGAAAATGAGATCTTGACGGTATTTATTGATATGTTAATATGTAACAATAAATGTTACTTAATTTGTCAATATCTGATCTTCTATTTACACATTTTTTTATTTTTTTGTATATGTGTCATTTCTAAAAATAACCGTTTCTGTTCATGTTTCTGCCTCTCTAGAATTGAAGCCTGTGAAAAATTAAATGTGTGATTTAGATTGATGGAGTGTTCAGCTAATGCACAAGCTTGTAATTTCTTAGTTTTTACATCACTTTTATAAGAAATAATTCTGCTGTGTAATGTTCGAGAAAAGTTTATATAGGAGAACGTGACATCACGTCGACCACTACACTCCCCCTGGGGGGTCAGGATTGAAGAGAGAGAGAGAGAGAGAGAGACATATCATTAAAAACAAAATGCCGTCTATTGAACTGTTACATATATACAGTTCTGTTCTACGGAATGGAAGCGTGGACACTGACTGTTGCATCTATGAATCAGCTCGAAGCTTTCGAAATGTAGTGTTATAGGCGCATCTTACGTATATCCTCGGTTTACAGAGTTACTAATGTGGAGGTCCTGCGTAGAATGGGGAAAGAATGTGAAATTCTCATGACCGTCAAAACTAAAAAGTTGGAATATCTAGGACATGTAATGAGAAATCAAGAACGTTTCGGTCTTCTCCAGCTGATTCTATAACGGAAGGTGAATGGTAAGAGAGGACCGGGAAGAAGACGCATTTCCTGGCTTCAAAATTTACGAAAATGGTATAACACGACTACAACTGAACTGTTCCGCGCTGCAGTAAACAAAGATAGCCGTGATGATCGCCAACATTCGGAACGGATAGGCACAAGAAGAAGAAGAAGCTAGTTGAATTGGGGTGACTCCAGTACTATAGTTCATAGCTTCTTTGTCAATATGATCTGCTGTTTCATTATCAATAATTCCAGTATGAGAAGCCAGCCATATCAGAGAGACTGTTTTATCGTGAGTAGAGAGATTTTGGTATATATCATTAATGTTTTGAACTAATGGGTGGTCAATTAAAATTGTATTGACAGAAAGGATAGATGAAAGGAAATCTAAACAAATAGTAATATGCCTGTTTTGATGGAAGATGCACTTAAAAGCTGAAACAATTATTAATGCTCCAGGTATTACAAAATTTGTAACAGTAAAAAACTGAAAACTTTGTTTTCAAATTTCCACAAAATTTATTTTAAACTCTTATCACTAAAGCTGTTTCTGTTGATTGCCTTTCTCAAGTGATCTATTCTTGGTATACGTTTCCACTTTATAGTCTCTAATGAAATAGGTTGAGGAGGGGAAAACTGTTTGTCTCAAGTTGGTCATTCAGAATTATATTTAAGTAAAGAGAGTAAGTATAAGAATGTAAGTAAACAACGAATACAATGAACAAACAATTAATAAAATGTTTAATCAAAAACTACAAAAGAAAGCCATGAAATTAGTATTTCCACCACCAGCTTTCCGAACAAATAACAACCTAGTCAAGTATATTAAAAACAACAAGAGTCAAAATAGAAAACACTTACATAGCGGTACGTACAAGCTTAAATGTGGCGACTGCTCAAAAAGCTACATCGGTTAAACTGGTAGAAACTTTAATAAACAAATAGCAGAACATAAAAGGGCATCCAATAATAGAAAATCAGATTCTACCTGAGCCACCAAAATACTAGGGTAAAAACCCTTTAAATTACATTTAGTTATGAAATGTTGTACATTTTCTTGTGAAATAACTGTGATGTTCAGTATTAAATTAGACTATAGGTAACACATGGCTCAATCTGGTTCCAGAGCCGGTGAGAGGGTACCTCTGCACTCGGAGAACAGCGTGGAACTCAACGCAGTTCTAGTTTAATACTGAACATCACAGTTATTTCACAACAAAATGTACAACATTTCATAACTAAATGTAATTTAAAGGGTTTTTACCCTAGTATTTTGGTGGCTCAGGCATTGTGACCTAGCATTTTTCGATTTTAAAACCTGATGATGGACTGTGTGGTCCGAAAACGTTTGTTTTATTGATGTGGCCCTTTTAAGGGTTTTTTAAATAAATATACCCATTTACAAAGATTAACCTCTTTTTGTTATACGTGGTATACAGCCAGCTACAGAAATTTTTCCTTGTGGATTTTGAATTTAAAATTCTTCACATCCAAAATAAAGGCCTTAAGCTATCTTTGTTAGAATCTATGAAAATCAACAAATTAAAAACACAGATATAATATTGTGAATGACCAACTTGAGACAAACAGTTCTCTACTCCTCAACATATTTCATTAGAGACTATAAAGCAGTGGTCGCCAACCTGTCAATCGCGAGCTACCGGTAGCTCGCGGAGGCAATTCTGGTAGCTCTGACAACGATTTTAATTTAAAAAATACAAACTGCAAAAATCAGAGAAGCTTCCGAAAATTCCACAAAATGATCTAATTGTCATAATATTAAACACAAACAGCGGCAACGTTGCGGTGAGCGATCTGCGTCAAGCTAGAATCGGCTATTTATAGAACCGACCAGCCGGACCAGCGCGTTAGTGTTTGAGAACGATCTGGATTGCTTTGAACGGGATAAATACGCACGGCGCGGCGACATTGCGCTTAGTTTAAAACTAAACGCGTAACCAACGTCCAGCGGTTGACTTAGTAGAGAACAACAAAAATAATATTATGGCAAGCAGTTTTAAGAAGGTAAAGACATACCACTTTCATTCGGAATGGGAAGAACAATACTTTTTTACAGAAGTTAAAGATAAAAATGTGTGTCTGTTATGTCATACTTCGGTCTCTGTTTCTAAAAAAGGAAATATTGAGAGACATCATAAAACTGTACATTCTAATTTTGAAAAATCATTCCCACTACATTCTGCCGCCAGAAAGGAGAAACTGAAACAGTTATAAAACAGTTAATTGGACAACAATCAATATTTTTAAGAACATTTTAAGAACTGAAGCATCGTACCGTGTGTCCCAGATAATTGCACAAAAAAAGAAACCTTATGAAGACGGGGAAATGATAAAACAGGCGTTTTTAGAAGCTGCTCATTCGTTATTTGCCAACTTTAGAAATAAAGACGAGATAGTTTCAGCTATAAAATCTATGCAACTTTCTGCTAATACAATGATGAGCCGTGTAGAAGTAATGAGCAATGATATTTTTTTACAGTTAAGAACTGACTTAGATAACTGTGTTTATTTTTCACTTCAACTGGATGAATCAACAGATGTCGTTGACACTGCCCAGATGGCCGTGTTCGTCAGGATGGTTTTTAGTGATTTTACTATTAAAGAAGATCTTTTGAAGTTCATTCCACTGAAAGGACATACTACTGGACAGAAGTTGTTTTCTCATTAAAAAAATATTATTTCTTCGGAGAAAATTCCAATATCTAAAATGGTAGGCTTGACAACCGATGGCGCTCCAGCTATGGTAGGTTGTGATAAGAGTCTGGTGGCGCTATGTCGTAAAGATGAAACTTTTCCGCAATTTCTCTGTTACCAGTGCATTATCCATCAGCAAGCATTATGTGGAAATTTCCTGAAACTAAACAACGTAATAAAACTGATGGTAAAAATTGTGAACAAGATTAGAGCTCAAGCGTTACAAAGAACGCACATGTGGTGCTACCGCCGTATACTAAGAATAAGTTGGGTAGGTAGAATTACAAATAAAGAGGTAATACGCAGAATAAATAACGATCCAGAGGTTATTATGAATATAAAAAAGAGAAAACTTGAATACTTAGGCCACCTGATGAGAGGACAAAAGTACAAAATATAATGCAAGTAAAGATCCAAGGACGCAGAAATCCATGCCATAGAAGAATGTCCTGGATGAGAAATTTAAGAAAATGGTTTGGCTGTACCACTAACGAATTATTCAAAACAGCAGTTAATAAAATTAGAATCGCCATAATAATATCCTATCTCCGATAGGAGAGGCACTCAAAGAGGAAGAAATTACAAAGAAGATTATTCAGAACCTTGGCCGATGAAGTTGACTGTCAATACGGGGACCTACTCCTAAGTCCGATGGTTAAGTAGAGGACGGGTGCTGAAACGTTTTAATGATATCATATTTGGCATAGTTCAATTTTTCAAACAACGCGATGAACCGACTCCGGAACTAGAAAATTCAATCTGGCTTAGAGATTTTGGTTTTCTCGTGGACATTACAGAGAAATTAAACGAACTTAATTTGCAGCTTCAGGGGAGAGACAAAGAACTAGAGGAAATGATATCTTATATAAAAGCATTTATCAAAACGCTGGAGTTTTGGGAAAAAAACCTAATTAACATCGATTCCAAGCATTTTCCTATTCTTTCAGAAAAAATATCTTAAAACCATTAGAACCCTACGACAACAAATATCATGTAGAAATAATTTCTACCCTGAAGAATAACTTCAAAACTCGTTTTAAGGATTTCAATGAAATGACTTTAGTAGCGCAGTTTGTTGTTTCACCCTTTATGGAAATTGATATCAAGCAGTTTGCAGCTTGTGTTATGCAGAACTTTGGCGAAGACATCGCTGCAACAGAAATGGAAGTCATTGAGTTTCAAAATGATTTAGCCTTAATATCGTTAGTCTCAAGTACTGAATGTATCTGGCCTATTGTAAGTAAAGACAAATATTCAGTTCTATTCCATCCATGTTGCCATGAAATTAAAAGCATTATTCAGTTCAACCTATTTGTGTGAATCTTCTTTTTTCAATATGAAGTTTATTAGGAACAAATATTGCAATCGACTTACAGATGAACATTATAATAATTGTATTCGAATGGCTGCATCAAATTTTACTGCAAACATTAAAAAAATTATCGATGATTCTGAGTGTCAGCCTTATTGAACGTGCTTTTTTATTTTTCAACGTTTATGTTTATGATAGTGCGTTACTTTTTTGTTGTTATTATTAACTATTTTTAAATCATACGTGACATGTCATTGTGGCTGGATAAAAGTATGTGTTTATTTTTCAAATACCTTCGTTTGATAGGTAGGAAGGTAGCTATGAACAAGTACGTACTATTAATATTAGTTATTTTGTTATTAGTTTATTATTAGTACCTATGTTTTATGTATTACCAGTTAAACAGTAAAATAAATACATATCTTCTTCTTCTTCTAGTTCCTATCCGTTTCGGATGTTGGAAATCATATTGGCAATCATAACCTTGCTCGCTGCGGCTCGAAACAGCTCCGTTAAGGTTTTCTTAAACCATGTTCTTAAATTCCGCAGCCATGATGTTTCTCCTTCTACCGGGTCCTCGCTTACCTTTGACTTTACCTTGCAATATAGACTGTAGCAGGGAGTAACGGTGCTGATTTCTCATAACGTGTCCCAGATATTGCAATTTTATGCGTTTGATCGTAAACACAATCTCTGGTTCCTTCTTCATTTTTCTAGAACTTCCTTGTTCGTGATCCTTGCTGTCCATGATATTCTCAGCATTCTTCTATAAAACCACATCTCAAATACATATAATGATAGATTAACTGTGGATTATTTCATTTACGTTGCTTTACGTGGATTATGTGTGGGTAGCTCGCTGATTATTCCAAAATTAACAAAGTAGCTCAAGACATTGAAGAGGTTGGCAACTACTGCTATAAAGTGTAAACGCATGCGAAAAATAGATCACTTGCGAAAGGCAATGAGCCGAAACAGCTGTAGTGATAAGAGGTTAAAATAAATTCTGTTGAAGTTTGAAAACAAAGTTTACAGTGTTTTATTGTTACATAAAATGAATTTCCATCAAGTAACGGTCGAATTCTAAATGTAAAAACGTACCCAAGCTGTGACATAAATTCAGACCACAATCCTGTAGTTGCAACTGTCAGAATAAAACTTAAAAGAGTAGGCAAGGCTAAACCCAGTCAGAGAGTAGCATGGAGTAGTGCTGACCAGGGACAAAAACATATGTATAATGACATGGTAGACACGCAGTTAGAGTCTAAGATATTAGCTCCCACTAAAGAGAAGACAATAACACATTGAAGACATGTGGGGAAAAATTAAAAATACTGTCCTGGAGGCAGCAAACCAAAATATACAAAAAGAAAACCGTAAACAAAGAAAACCATGGATGACAAACGAAATATTACAAATTATGGAGAGGAGACGGATGGTAAAACACAAAAACCTAACAAGATACAAAGAGCTTAACAGGGAAATTGAGAGAGAGAGAGATAAATGTAGCTAAGGAAGAGTGGATGAAAGAAAAATGTAAAGAGGTAGAAGATCTGCAAAGGAAGCATAAAGATAGAGAATTACACAGAAAGGTGAAAGAAGTCGCTGGGATATGGAAACCCAAACATTTATTATTGTAACAAACACGAAAAACCAAATGGAATTAGACCCTGAAAAACAGAAGGAAATATGGGAACAATATCTTAAAGATTTGTTTGGTGATCGGAGAGCAGAAGGGCCCTCACAAATAGATACCGATGGAAAACTAAGTATTCTAACCGAAGAAGTTATGCGGGCAATAAAAGACGCAAAGAACAACAAGGCACCCGGCGAAGATCTAACAACAGCCGAACATTTTAAACACCTGAGTGATGATGCTGTCGGGAAATTAACCTACCTCTTTAACAATATATATGAACATGGCACTCTACCGCATGACTGGCTAACATCCACATATGTAGCTCTTCCTAAAAAACAAAAAGCAAGGAAATGTGAAGACCATCGAACTGTATCCCTAATGAGTTATGCTGCTAATATTTTTATGCGAGTAATTTATAACCGCATTCACAATAAGTGTGAAGAATACCTGAGTCGTTCTCAATATGGTTTTAGGAAAGGTACAGGCACCAGAGAAGCAATAATGAGATTGACACTAATGACAGAAAGGTATTTCGAGGTTCAAAAACAGCTGTATGTGTGCTTTGTCGATTTTAGAAAGGCCTTCGACCGCATTAGACACGAAAAATTGATTAAGGTGCTAACAAAAGTAGGGCTGGACGGACACGACATAGCTCTAATAAGCAATACATACTGGAACTACATAGGATGTGTTCGAACAGACAACGGAAATACCAATTATGTAAACATAGAACGAGGAGTGCGTCAAGGGTGCATTCTGTCCCCTCTTCTATTTAATGTCTATGCCGAAAATATCATCAGAGCTTCTCTTGAAGATCGCCCTGAAGGTGCCAGAGTCAATGGAATTATCATTAACAATGTAAGATATGCCGATGACACCGTAGTATTAGCAGAAACAGAAGACCAACTAAAAATATTGATCAACATACTATCAGAAGAAAGTCACAGACTAGGTTTGGATATTAATCTTTCCAAAACCAAAATCATGGTATTCCACAAGAACCCCCATGAACAAATTACAACCAACATACAAATCAATGGCATCGCCCTTCAGAGCTCCCAAAGCTTCATATACCTGGGCAGAGAGCTTAACAGTCGTTAAATAGAAGACGTATTGAAATAGCAAGATCTGGCTTCATGAACATGCGTTAAATGCTCTATAACCCCAAGCTATCAATCACAATAAGGTTAAGAACACTAAAGTGTTATGTGTGGTCTCTACTACTATATGGCTGTGAGACCTGGACATTAAAACAGTATGACGTCAACAAACTGAATTCATTCGAAATGTGGATGTACCGCCGAATGCTAAGAATAAGCTGGACCAGCAAAAGTACAAATGAAGTGGTACTGGAAATAATGAACACACGACCTCATCTGGTTAATACAATTAAAATTAGAAAGACGTCATTACTAGGACATGTAATGCGCAATAAGGAATTCGAGCAGCTCCAGGTAATATTAGAAGGCAAAATCGAGGGTAAAAGGGGTATAGGAAGAAAGAAGAAATCCTGGCTCCGAAACATTAGAGATTGGACTCACACAACAGGAAATGATTTAATCCATCAAGCCTAGAAGAGAGAGAAATTTGCCATATTGATCGCCAACCTCAATAGAGAAGGCACTTAGGAGGAGAAGGAGAAACGGTCGAATCCATCAATTATTAAAAAATTTGTTAACGTTAAATAATATGTATCTAGGAATTGGGGTAACGCAAAATATTAATGATTTTAATGATGAATTTAACAGGATTTTTATGAAAGTTGCAGGGTTACGAAAGACTAATAATAGTTCCTAGAAAAATATAACGATAAGCTCTAAACCATTACTAAGACTAACATTTAAATTGATAAAAATAAACTTTTTGGCACTTTTATTATTTACTTACTTTCTCTGAAATTTCACAACAGGATCATTTAAAACATCGCTCATATCAAGATTCTTTCCTTTATTTATAACGTCTGGGTGTTTTTTCATTAAAAGCCATCCAACATGACAAAAGAAGAATCCTCTGTTCGAATTGTGAGGATCAGCAGTTGTGTCTGTATATTTGTGGTGCATTCTGTGATCCCTAACCCAAATGTAAAGATCATTCTGAAGGCACATTGTATGCAAAAGCATTAAAAATATTCTTAGTGGCAATTTCGCTTTGTAGGCTCTATGAGACCAAAGACGATGGGCTCCAGCTGTGACCCCTAATAATCCCACTTCACCCAGAAAAACGCCTGGAAATAAAAACAAAGATTAAACAATAATTTAAAAAATTACGGGTGTGACAGTTCAGTGGGACTGCTGGTAGTAGTTATACTTCTATAAACGCATTCGCCGTTAAAAATTTATATAGGAGTCAATCTCCACAATCATTACATACAGATTGAACGAATTTAAAACGGATCATACAATTTAATATATTTCTGTTTGAACTGCATTTAAAATAGTGGACCAATATAAAACTTGGACAAAAATAAATCCATACCTGGGTATAGACATTGTATAAATTATCGAATGGATGGATTCGACCGTTACACATTAAATTTTCACCTAAATTTACCATAAAAAATACAATAGAACTAGTTAATAAAAAACAACATTTTCAATTACCTAACAACTCCAGATTAATTTCATTTGACGTAAAAAATCTTTTTCCTAGTATCCCTCCTACAGAAACTTTTATTCTAGTAAAAAACCTTTTAGACCAAAATAGTACATATCCAATAATAACATCTGAAATTTTACATCTTCTTGAAGTTTGCATAAACTAGGACTACTTTGAATTTAATAATAAAATTTATACAAATAACAGTACAGGACTTATAATGGGTAATCCTCTAAGCCCATTGCTATCAGATATTTTTATGGATTATCTATCTGGAGACAAAGATTTCAAAACATCCGTTTCAAAAGTTTTATATTGGTGGAGATACGTAGACGACGTACTGGTATATTTCACAGGAACTAACAGGCAACTCGACCAATTTTTATCATATATTAATTCACTTCATAGTCATATTGAATTTACAATAGAAACAGAACAAAATCAATTCATAAATTTTTTAGATTTAAAAATTAGCAGACTTCAAAACAAACATGACTTCTCCATATTTCATAAACCTACCCATACTGACACGACTATACACAATTCGTCATCCCATCCAACACAACATAAACTGGCAGCTTATCATAGTATGTTACATAGATTAACAGAAATTCCGATGTCAAAATACAACTTTACGACAGAAGTAAATATAATTAAGCAGATAGCAGTAAACAACGGATACAACGAACAAACAATTAATAAAATGTTAAATCAAAAACTGCACAAGAAAGCCCTGAAATTAGTATTTCCACCACCAGAGAAAAAACTCAGTAC